AGCAGTGCAGTGCAGGACCAGCTAAAGACTGTTCGATAGAGGTGGCGTTGGCAAGCAGTACAGCCAAAGGATTTGCAGATGCACTTGCTAAGACATCGTGGGACCATCCCTTAACCGAGAAGCCCCAAAACGACACTTTGCAACTGGCAAAAGATCTAAGCCTTTTCCTGCACCCCAAACCCACCTATACTCTTCATTGTAGTTCCTTTTTTTGGTTTAACGAAGTATATATCAAGGATCCTATATGGTAACTCCCAAAAGGAACTACAATGGAGACTATAGGCAGAGCCAGAGCAACTGGACGCGACCGACTCGACTGTCTGATGTTGCTCAACAAGCCATGCCAGAGCCTAAGCATAGTATAGAGGCCCCAATAATTAGAATAGGGTTCCCTTGAAACGGCTCTATATAGAGGCTACAAAAGGGAATCTATAAGGGTACTATAATACAGGGGCCCTTATACATGCATGTCCACTTAAAGGGTTGCATGTATCGCTGGCTCAGATGTACCAAGTGCAGCTTGCTTGCTGCCGCCTATGACCCAAACCATGAATGCGAAACCCAAACAAAGCCTTCGCAATTTCTCGGGGTCACGGACACGCAAGAGACGTTGCTCGCACATATGGGCGCTGCGCTAACACTGTTCAGAGTTTAACGGTTATTTAAGGTTGAGGTTGAGGTTTAGGGCTTACCGGGTATTATGAATAGCCGTTGTGTCCAACACTCTTCGCTCAGCGAATCGCTGTGCAAAGCATGGTCCCCGCGGCGGATATAGACCCGAAAACTGAATTAGGGATTTGGGCTTTGGAGCTTAGTTAGAGGCTTGGAGTTTACGGTTTAGGCTGTAGGCATTGAACCTGCGGAATGCTCCCGTACCATGAGGTGCGTAAGGCAGCATCGTAGATAGTTTGGTTCCAAACGTACATACTATAATGGCACTATAGATCTTGTTACACTAAGATCCTGGGCCCTAAGCCCAATAAGTGAATCCCAATCCACTCCCTTGCAGGCTCTCACGGACACGACGTCTGGTGCTTGGCATCTCTTTCGGGATCGGGCCACAGGTTGCGGTCGGATATAGAGGCTGAAATAATTCAAGCTTTAGGGTTTAGTTTAGGGGTTTAGGCTTAAGGGTTCAGGTGAAAGTTAAGGGCTTCGGGTCTAGGGCTGAACAAGTATCCAAATTACTCCTGCTGGCTTTTAGGGATCTTTATTACAGCTAGACTATATATAGTATACCCCAAAACCTATTCTGACCATGCAGGCATCAATAGTACCTGGGCTTAGGGCTGTTTGTAGTTCGGGGTTGAGGGCTTACGTAGTTTTGAGGAGGTTTCGGTTTGAGGGTTTTAGGGTTCACTGTGGATTTGGGTTTAGGGCTTTTTAGGTTTGGATCAGGTTGCAGGACATGTCTGCTGTTGAGGGGCGTAGAACGAGAACTATTGTATCCGAAAGAGGGGCTGCAAACGAGGGCATCATGATGGCCCATAGTAAGGGCTCTGGACCCGGGGATTCCGAGTTCAGGGTTGAGGGTTTAGGGCTCTGGACACATGCCTCAATGCTTGGAGGGTTTTTGGTATGTCTTGAGTTGTTTACAGTATAGCATTCTGTAGGGTTCCATGATAGACATCAGCATCATCATACACCGTGAAGCCCGTGAGACACTACCACTACATGGCAACAGACACCGCTGGATCCGATCTTTCCATTGGCCAGACCGCGCCACGGGTGCTTCCCGGAGTTCTGCCAAAGTGCTATCATTTGGGTTTCGCTGCGGAGATTCGCAGGGGCTACTGTAGGAGCAGACATTCGCGCCCTCATGTGCACCCACGTCGCTGAGCATTCCCAGCGGCAGAATAACTAATAATTGCGGTTTGTTGGCTACATGCAGTGTTCTCCACGCGCCCGAGAACTCTCCTTCCTAAGCGACACCTAATTAGGACCCGTATTACTTCCTAAACTCCAGCCTCCGTAGCACCTTTATTGCACCCCGGTAGCACCCTCACCAAACCCAAATAGAACCGTTACGTCCCCATGCATTATCCCAGGTCTTCGAGGCGGATGTTCACCGCACCAACCCTGCTGCTCAGTCCGGCCAAGAGGTCTTGAGGCCAGAACGTTTGGGAGCAGGGTGCTAGATGTCAGGGTTTAGGGTGTTAGGGGTTCCGCGGTGTAGGGTGTTAGGTGTTCGGGCTTTCGGGTATAGAACAGTGTTCCCGGCCCCCTCCCCAATGACATTTCCCCACGGTTCGAAGCTGGATGACCAAGCCGTTCCACGGAGGAGGGAGATGACCATGCACAGCCGGGGATACCCCATCGGGGGCGGCGTTAGGGTTAAGGTGTGTTTAAGTCTTGGAGGTTCTGGGGCTTTGGGCGGAGGGCCCAGGACTTGTGAGCGGGCATCACGGATTTGTTTAGCTTGGACATTGTAAGCAACAATACCTAAAGCAACTTCACATAGGAATTTCGTTACGTCCGCCGGGTTTCGGGGCATTTTGCGGTTTAGGGCTCTGGGCTCAGGTTCAGTAGTGTTCAAGGCTAAGGGCATCTAGGGTATTGAGCGACCCAAAATCCCACTACGACCCCCCCAAATCAGCGCATCCAAGCTTCTGCCTCCAGGGCGTTCTCCTGGAATCGAAGATGACTTCCCAGTTTCAGGCAAAGTTTCAGGTGGGTCAGAAGCTGCAGTTCTTGAAGCCGAAAGGCTTAGATAGGCGTCATGAGTAAGTCTTTGGGCTTAAGCTCTAGACTCTAGACTTTCTGAAGGTTCATGGGTAAAACTATGAATGTTACAAGCTTCCGAGTAGCTGGGGTTCTAAAAAGCAAGAAACTACGGCCAACTCAGTAATAACCGTATTGTCTTAGCCCCCGATGCTTGGGTGAGGGACAGGGCGGCGCGGAGCTCATGACGGGGTCTTGGGTTCAGGCTTTCCGGAGCCCTCGCCCTGTCATTCCTTGACCACGAATGTTCGAGCTTCGGGCTCAAGGGCTTAAGATCTCCGGTGTGGTTTTTGGTTAGAGTATGCCGCACTTGCAGAAAGTGAGGGTGCCGTGGTTTCGGGGTTCAGTGTCTTTTACACCTCGAAGCATGTAACCTGTCTGCTCAATGCACCCGAAGTGCCCTGCAGTTTCATCTCCGACCTAGAAAGCCCAAAGCGCTGAAACCCAAACCCTAACCCCCTCCCCACTCTGCGGTAGGTTTCTTTGCGCGAAGCAATGGCTCGATGTCAGAGGCAGCAATCTCAACACCGCTGAAGCTCAAGAAAGCCAGCACTCCCCAAACTTTCTAACATAGGGGCCTTAACAATTACATATTATACTATTTGGGGGGGTATAGTCTAATGGGCCCCAAACCCCTATTCTACTTATTAAGGCTCCTATTAACGAACGAAAACCCTGAGCCCCAAAGCCGCAAGAAGTCTTACATTCTAAATCCTACACCCCGCTCAGAAACAATAACAAGATCACCCTAAACCCTGAATTGGGCCTAAACCCCTTGAACAAACCCCAGCGATACTCCAAAACGACTGCAAAAGACGACCCAATTGTCAGATCTAGACCTTTCCCTAAGACACCTTATAATCGAAGCCCTAGACCGAAACAATAAATATAACAAAAACCTGAAACCCTAAACCTTCACCCAAAACTCTACACCCGAAGCCCTAAACCATCACACCCTCGAAACCATGCCGGCATCCTTTGCCGCCTCTTTGCTACTTCGGGGCCCCCGAGTTTCGGCGAACTTGCAGGAGAGCATCTTATTCGGCAGGATTTAGGGCCAATTTAGGGTTCGGGCTTTAGGGTGGATCGTTCTCGGGCGTCTTTGGAGGGCCTTCTTGAGGGGTAAAGGAAGTCTCGATGGGTTTCATAAGGTTTCTTGTGGGTTCGTTTAGTTGGGGGGGTGCTACTAGGTTGATTTTTTGAGGTGGCGCTCTTTAATAATCTAATGTCGACTATGCCTCGAAGTTCCAGAAAGCTCTAATCCGTTGCTTCACATGTCATCAGCTATTTTCTCCGAATGCACACTAATCTCCTTCTTTCGCCATGAATACTGTCGTCATGGCATGATTAGCACTACCATTATAGTGAACATAAGTTCATTAGTTGAGACTAGCTACTATAATATGTGTCGTCGATTTGAAGTTCGTGTTCTTTGTGCTTTGCTTCACCAATCACAGGAGCCCATGGCTGTCCCGCGGAGACAGAAGAGGCTTGGATGTCTGTGCGCCTGCTGCTGGTCCCTCTGCTTCCTGAGGCCTGGGTTACTATATGGGTGGTCAAAATTAGGGTCGGTCCCCAATATAATACGGCACCTAATATTTAGGGTACCCAAAAATGGGCCATAATTTTGACAACCACCCATATGGGTTTCTAGAGCGATTTGTATGGGCTTTTGGGTCTGGTGTCTAGATGGCAAGTTGTCAGAAGTTCCTGTTCTCTAACATGCTATTCTTGCTTTGGAGAAATTAATCCTTACAGAGTTCGCTGGAAAAAATCCAGCAACGTGCCCAAGCAGTGGCCGGGGTCAGAATTTAGAAAACCCGCCACATGCAAAGATTCATGATGTGTGGTACCCATAGGCTCCATAGTAGTTCCTTTTTGGGGTTCATATTTAGAATCCTATAAGGTAGCCCCAAAAAGGAACTACTTCGGAGCCTCTGGGTATTTACTCTGAATACTCTTCCTCCCACGCCTGAGCACGGATGGGCCTGTGTAGGGTTTAGGGTTCGGGTTTAGGGTTTAGGGTTCGGCTAGGATTTACGGCGTTCCAACAAGATCAGCAATGTCAGGAACCCGTCAAGCACGAACAATGAATCTAGCTTTGCAGCAAACGAGGATCCATATCGGGTGGGCTTGCGGTACTACTGCATTGCTTTCTGCATTGTCGGGTCGGGTCATCAGATAAAAACCGTGACATCAATGCTCAAGGCGCTATCTTTTTGTTGAGGCTGCCATGGGAGCTTGACAGCGGGGCTCCTGTCCGGGCCTGGACAACGAGGATGACATTTCAGTGGGGTGTGGCTGGAGCCGCTTATCAGATCGAGGGCGCTCATGATGCCGACGGCAAAGCAAGATCGATCTGGGACGACTTTTGTAAAGTTCCGGGTGCCATTGACGACGGGACATCTGCAGAGGTGGCATGTGACTTCTACCACAGGTGCCTTAAGGACAAACTGTACACTAGAAGGGTTCAGCTACCATGTTTGTTGTGACCCCCCCCCCCCCCCCCCCCCACCCCCCACCTTTTAGGATTTGGGGATTAGGTTTTAGGGTTTAGGGCTAAGTATATCTTACAGTATAACTTGGTCCCTGAGGTATGAGGAAGACATTGAACTCGCGCGAGCTGCGGGCTTCAAACACTTCCGCATGTCCATCTCCTGGCCGCGGATTATGCACGACGATGGGCAGCCAAACGAGGCCATCTTAAAGGTTTATAGGGTTTAAAGTTTAGGGGCTGGGGTTTAGGGTTTGGGGTTCAGGGTTTAAAGTTTAGGGGTGTAGGTTAGCAAGAATGTACCATGGATCCTTTCAACCACCTCCCCCGGCTGTTACTCTACTTAGCACTTAGCTTCCCCATCTGGGAGTTTCCGATAATGGGGGACCCTAGTATAGTACCCTTACCAGGACCCCAAAATAAGGTACCCCAAAATTTAGGAAACTCTAAACCCTCATAGAGCCCCTTAAGGTATCCTTATAGCAACCCTTTAAGGTACCCATAAATTTCGGAAACTCTCATCTTCAACACTTGGAGACTTAGCCCGACGAGGCCGGGATCGACTTCTACTCGAAGGTCCTGGAGAAGCTTGAGAAGGTTGGCGTTCTGGGAGGTTTTAGAGTTTTCAGGGGTTGAGGGTTGACGGTTTTAGGGTTATTTAGGGCTTCGTGGTTTTTGGGTTTAGACTTTTCGGGGTTTAGGGTTATGGTTGAGGGTTTCAGGGTTTTTAAGTTTTAGGTTTCAGGGTCCAAAAGGGTTTAGTGAGAAGGTTGGCATGGAGCCTTGCGTGACGCTGTACCACTGGGACCTGCCGGCATCCTTGCAGACGCCAGGTTTAGGGCTCTTAACAATTTTTTTTTCACACAAAAGCATACGTATCTATCTATCTATCTAAACATGCATACGTATATAGGGTCTAACGTAGGCCTTAGGGATTTTGGGTTATCCCCTACTGGGCTTGAGAGGATTTATTGTTTACTACTAGTACGATTTTCAGAGGCTGTATAACGGCCCAGCCTAGGACAACAGAGATGCCTGGGTGGATGAGCCCGAAGATCATCGACAAATTCATGGCGTATGCCACGTTGTGTTTCGAGCGCTTCGCACATAGGGTTCCCATGTGGATCACCTTCAATGAGCCTGCCGTGTTCGTTTTCGGAGGCTATCAAGGAGGTTGGAACGCCCCCGGTGTCAAGCAGTCGGTCGCTGAGGCTCTCGTAGCTGTGCGGCATGTTCTGCTCGCGCATGCAAAAGTTGTGGCCCTTTATCGGTCCCGCTTCCAGAACGGCGACAAGTCAAAGAGAATTGGGATCACACTGAACACGCGACACTACAAGGCTGTGGATGCGAGCGATGCTGCTGCGAAAGGCGCCCAGCACATGTTGGAGGACCGCATAGCTAGTTGGTCCGACCCTGTCGTCTTCGGCGACTTTCCTGAGAGCTTCAAGACAACCCACGGAGGCAACACGGCCGTAGCCCTCAGCGAAGTTGATCAAGAAGCCCTAAGAGGCTCTATCGACTTCCTAGGTATCAACTACTACACGACGTCTGGCATCCAGGAGGACAGCGAATCAGGCTCATCCGCCTTTAAGGTGGTAGAGCTTGGCGAAGCCTCGGGTGCATCATGGTTGCATTCCTACCCCTCCGGCCTTATTGAACTGTTGAGGTGGCTATCAGGTCGCTATCCTGGTCTGGATGTGGTAATCACTGAAAATGGCTTCTGCACCCCTGCGGACGACCCAAAGGCAGTGGAGGATGATCCGCGCGTCAAGTACTACCAGGACCACACAGACATTGTCAAGCAGGCCCTGGACGAAGGACTGCCCTTAAGGGGCTACTTTGCCTGGACTCTGCTGGATAACTTCGAGTGGGCAGGGGGCTACAAGGACACCTACTCACTGAGTTTGTATATGCTGTCTATCTATGTGCATGTAACTATATATACATATATATATATATGTATATGTGTATATATGTAGGTGTATATATATATATATATATTGACATATGTATTCATGTTTTTGTTTATTATCTCTTTGTTGGGTTATGAAACCTCGTATAAAGTCGGAAGTTCGAGCTGCTTGGGCTGCAGATCTGGGAAACTAAGGAAAGGTTCGGCATGGTGCACGTTGACTTCGATGACAAGGAGCAACCCTCATTCCCAACCTGGAACTCTAAACCCCTTTGAACCCCAAACCCAACCGCCCTGAACCCTACACCATCCGAATTATGGGGCATGACCTCAAACATCATCCTACTACTTGACTTAACCGACAATACGATGAAGAATGGAAGAAACCCTAAGCCTAAGCCCGCAACCCAAAGCCCTAATGAGGAGCTACCGCGCACCGTGAAGAGCTCTTACCGTTGGTGGCAGCAGTTCTTGGGCTGATTGTGGGGGCCATATGGACCTGAAGGACCAAGTGACCCTTAAAAGTAGGGGCCCTATACCCATATACTATGAATCCCTATATGGTATAAATGAACCTTAAACCCTTTTCATTTCGTCCTTAAGGGATTGCGAAAGGGTATGGGGGTGTATCGTCTTCATTTAAACTCTAGGACTCTAGGATGTAATCTAAATGGTCGGTATAACTGGTAATCGTGTTCCGCATCCCATACAGTCCGGATTCCTGTCTATGTTTCAACAATAGCACAAAGCCGTCCATCACCGCTTCCATATCGTGCCTTATCATACATCTAACATATGCATATTTGTATATAAACAGACCCAGACTCCAAAGGAGCTGAACGGGTACAGAGATCCGTCCTGCTAAACCCTAAGCCATTTAAGGGCTAAGCTTCTGACTGCTTAACACCTGGTGAAGTAAGAATACCCTAAACAAGAAAGCCTAACCCCTAAACCCTGGTGAAGTAAGAACCTGGTGAAGTAAGAACACCAGGGGCCAACAAGGCTCCAAGACTCCGAGCTGCTGGCTGCAGAATTGAAAAAGAGAGTGCCCGGGGCCAGGGTTCGGGGTTTAGTGTCAAGTCGGATTCAAGGGTTTACAGAGTCTAGGGTTCGGGGTCTAGGGTCTCTAGTCGGGCTTGCAGGTAAGGGCTTAGGTCGGCTTAGGTCTTTAGGGTTGGGGGCGTAGAACTTGTGGATTATACGGTTTAGGAGGGTGTCGGCGGAGACGATGGCGACGATGGAATTCCTGAATCGGTATATGCTAAGTGGAGAATGAAGGGGAAACTGCTTGACTGCTAATCGTCTCGGAGAGCCCAGCTGCCTTTTTGTTGCAGGTGAACTGGGTTATGGGTACTATGAGGCCTATATAGGGTTAGAAGTAGCGCACTATACAGGAAACTGGACTCGCTGGGCAACGAGAAGCACCGCATGGAACGCCAATGGGGGCTCGAGAAGACAGAAACGCAAAAACGCAACCTCGACATCTCCTGTTAGGGCGCCTTGAGTACGAGGCCTCCAGGAAGCGCGAACCTCCAACCACCAAAACCATAAAACGGCTAAGACTTCCTAGACCTCCCAACTACCCTCCAGTATAGCCCAAGTATCCACCAGTAAGGGCCATAAGGATTCTATGAGAAGGCCCTTGAGGGGTTCTGGTTGTAGGGTATTTAGTTTAAGGCTTACGTGTCAGGGCGGAATCCGGAACGTCAAACCGGAAGACGTGTACCTAGGGAGCCCATCACTGGGCTCCCTAGTGATCATCACCCCTTAATTCCGGCTTCTTATCATGATTAAATATCATTCGGGCTTCTTACTATCATAGGGACCCTTAGGGGGGGTAGGGGAAAGGGGGGGTAAGGGGCCTTAATGTCTACTAGGGCCGATTTTAAGGAAGAATGGTCCCCTACCCCCTGCCCCCTTGCCCCCCTAAGGGTCCCTATGATACCATGATTCAGGGTAATCCGGGCTTCTTATCATTAAGTTGATGGGGTTCTCGTTTAAAATAATGCCTGCTCCTCGTCGTGACTTAAACTTGAGGAAGTCCCCCCAAGTAAGGATTTTGAAGGCGTCCAGATCCAGCACAGGATATGCATAATGGAACCCCTGACAAGGATGTTTTCTTCACCCCTGTCTCGGGAGGATACGTCGCTTGGATTCCATTTTGCGTTTAGATCTTGGTATAATGTAAAGTTGAACCAATATTATATTCTACCCTAGACCCGAAAGCCTACAGCATAAATACTTAGGATAACGCAGCAAGGCCTGTGCCACACGCGCAAGATCCGGGAAGCAGCAGCAGCAGCAGAGTCGCGGAATGCTGCGAAATAAAAACAATGCCTCTGGTTTCAGGGTTAAGGAAATTAAGGTTTACCTGGGCCCCCAAAACTTACCTATGTAAGAACGTATTTAAGGAAACCATAATCAGGAGCGCTAAAACGGAAACCAGAATCAGGATTTATTAAGTTCTGGATCGAAACTGTTTTACCACCAGTTGAAGAAGCCACACATCACATTCTTGTGGGTAGATTTGGCATCATTTCCTTTTTGGCTGTTCTTATAATTGTATCTGGGTATATCTATATGTATGTCTACAGGTTCTACTTCAGGAGTATCTTCACTCATTGATGTAATATAGGAATTATTTTCTACAGTCATATGACAGAGCACCCATCGTTGCAAGTGTCGCGTAACACGCGCGACGCTTCGCGTGTCTTAAGTATTCTAAAGCATCACTGCATCTTAAGAACGTAGTTAATTTGTTTGGTGTCAATACTTTTTGAGGGTCCAGGTCGAGTTCCAGGAGTTCTGCTTCAAGTCTTGAGCATTTGTGAGGTTTCGGGTTTCGAAGAACTGCGGGTTTAAGGGCTTCAGGAATGAAGCCTCAGGATTTCGCGATGAATTAAAAAGTATTCTCAATACTTCTCTCGTGGGATCGTAGCTTCAGGCATACTGAAGCCTCTATGCTTTTGGGAACCTCCGAGAGAAGCGGTTTAGGGTTTAAGGTTTGAGAGAAATCTCCTTCAAACCCTAAACGTAACCATGATCCCGTCGAAATCCTAAATCCCAAACCTGAAGCCCGAATCCTAAACCTATACCCGAAACCCTACACCCTAAACCCTACATAAACCCCAAAGCCTTAGTTTCCAAACCCCAGGCTCGCCAATCAGTGTGCCAGGTGTGGCCAAACTCGGCAATCCTGACCTGACTCGGAGTGGAAGGTTTGTATAGACCCGATTCCCTTGCGAAGATACGTATTTGGGAAGTAAGCTGCACACGTCTAAAGAGTCTTCCCCAAAAGTCTGCGCACTTTATAGTATGATATACTGATATACTCACCAAACTCCCGCCTGATTATGAAGACCCTAAACCCAAAACCCTAAACCCTAAACCCTAAACCCTTGGATTCTGCAGCATGAGGACCACGGCCCAGAGATCGAAGATGTAATCCGGGTCTCATAAACTACCCCTTTAGTATTCCTTCAGGCTTCCTGAAGGACCAAAAGACCCTTAAAAGTAGGGGCCCTATACCCATAGACTATGAATCCCTATATGGTATATGAACCTTAAACCCTTTTAGGGTTCATTTCGTCCTTAAGGTTAGTGTCCCCGATCACTTCGCACACTAGTAGTCACATGTGCCCGGAACCCTGAACCCTAAGCCCTAAACCCAGACCGCCAAAACCTGACCCTGGTCGACAAACCTTCCAGCACGCCCCTTGCTGCCAAATCTTGGCGGTACTTGTTTTCAAAGAGGAGGGGGCCTGTCCGAGTCAGACAAAAAAGAACCCTAAACCCTAAACTCCTAAACCCTAACACCTTTCGGGGCACTGGAGAAAAGGAGCTAAAACAAGAACACTAAAGACACAACAGCTATTACACAGGTAGCTGGGCGCTGAGGGCTGCATCAGGCATCTTTCGGGAGGATCAGGTTGCTGCACAAGTACCCGAGCCCCATGGGTCGATGTTACGATGTGGTAAATATTTCGACCGCAACCCTTTTAAGGCCTAAGTGTCTGCCATATGGGTTCACGGAGATTTAGGGAACCGAGAGATCGTGACTCAAGTCCACTGAGCTTTCAGTTCTGCAAACCAGCAGTCTGTCAAAACAACCCAGCGCTGTTTTCGGATCTGAACACAGGCTTGGGGCCTTCCAGCGTAGGATGTTAGGTTCCGAGATGAACGTGGAACCATAGCCACTTGTCTGCCGGATGCCAGATCCCCTATACCCGAAACCCCTACCTGTGACCCCAAACCCTACAAAATGGTAGGTTATGACCCCCTTCATTTTAGGGTAGAGCCCCCAAAACGGTACGTTTTGGGATCCCCAGGTAAACCCTAATAAGGGTGCTTCCTGGAGGATACTTAGCATACGAAAGGACACCGAAAGGAAAGGCTTCCAATTTCAGAGTTTCATGCGCTCCTTGGGTTTAGGGTTCAGGGTTTAGGGTTCAGGGTTTAGGGTTCAGGGTTTGGGGCTTAGGGTTTCTGGCCGAAACCGGGAGCTACGTTGGCGACTATGAGTAGCTTAGGAGATCATGATATACTGCCGGGCTCAGGGCACTGGGCCAGCCGATACTTCTTTTTTCTTGAATTTTGAGGGTACTTCTGACCTGAGGCGTAAGTGCTGCGCGAGGATTCCATGTTGAGTCAAAGCCATGGATGCAACGCGCAAAAACACTAAGCCCTGTTTCCTTATAAGCCCAGAAGTGTAGGCAGGCCTTCGGGAGACTGATTTCATTTGTGCTGCCGATTGTGGCTCAAGGTTGACTATCTTTGCGAGGCCCCCCATGTCAGACGTCCCTGATCTTAAGCCCCAGACCCGACTATAGCCTTGACCGGCCGTTAGACGGAAGCCAGCAACCTAGACATCTGTTTCAACATACCCTGTCGTAAACCATCGGGCACCCAGAATCAAGCCCTAAACAACGTTCCATGTTCAAGACTTTGTCCAAAAGATATAGAGGTAGATAGATACCTGCGCCTGAAACTGCATGAAGCCAATAGGAGTTGAGGCATCTTCCAACTGAGAGCTTATACCCAAGCTTTACCTAGTCTTCTTTCGGGGCAGCATTGGTGCGTTTCACCCTGGCTGACGCCCCTTCTACGTCCAACTAGCTCTGCCCGGGCGCTACATGCCAGGAGGCACACAGGTCATATTATTCTAATAGTACTATTTGTGAATCGCTTTGTTCGATGGTTTCCTTTGATTTTGTTGCTTACTTGTCAGAAGCTGCTTGCACAAACTTACATCACATCCCTTCAAGAACCCCAAACCCCAAACCCGGATCTCCCTACACCCGAAACCCTAAACCCTACTTTCCCTACACTCTGAACCCTAAGCTTTAAGGCAGAAGCCAGAAAGTTGGAATATGATTATCTTAACCCTTCTATGGTAAATTATAGGGTATCCTACCCTGAAACCATATTCCAACTTTCTGGCTTTTGCTTTAATTGCACTACAGCCTGCAAGCTCCTAACCC